GGTATATAAATCTAAGTCTAAGTGCTAAATACAGCAGAAGCCTCTGGTTGAAGAAGAGGAGGATGGCACCTAATCTTCCCCATAAGCACAATCGCAGGAGATGGCTGGGTGGATTTGCACTGGGTGAAGGTGAGAAGGCCCTGCATTGTGCACGCTGGCAATGCAACTGGCCCATCCACAGGGGAGAGAGTATTATTCCCTAGGCTGCCACTATGAAGACAAGGTGTGTGGTGGCAACCACAGAGCTTGGTGAGCGTGCTTGAAGCAACAGCACAAAGAGCAGAGCTGCTCCTCCCAGTTGTGACTTGACACATTTGCATGTCCTGAATGCTTATCTCTTTGACTGAGATAAGGAGGGCCACAAAGAGAGAAGTTGCTTTTTCACTCATTGCAATATCAATATTGCCCATATGAGATTAATGATTACATTAGATTAATGGTAATAATGCTGTGGAGGATTAAGGCTCACGTCTTAAAGGTGTTGCTTTTTTAAAGAAGGCAACCAAAATTCCCTTGCCATATTTAAGATGGCTTTACTCTTCCCCAGTTTAGAAAAGAGACGAGAACGCTGCTTTTGTTAAAATGTCTAATTGAAAAGGGAAAAGGAAAACAAAAACAAAAGCTTCATGGAAACTTCATCTATTTTGGTTGAAACTTTCTAACAAATACATGAAGTTGATATGTCCTATAAAGGTTTTTATTCTTGGTCAAAACAGTCCTGTCCTCCCCCTTTAATACTGAATAATACAGTATCTACTATCCGGAGCCTGCAGAAGATAAAGTGGTGCCATACGTTAATCATTAAATACAGTCTTCAGGAATTAGAGGCCCACATTGACGTTTTACCTAGTAGTATTTCAGCGCTGGCACATTTCTGCATCACAGAGCAGGATGCTTTAAATAGAAATATTATAATATAGTTTAATAATATGTAGTTTTAATTTTTTTAAAAAATCTGGATCTTGACTGATCTTGCATTCCCTTCCTGTCAAATCTATCTCTCTGTCAGCATCTCTTCTTGAAATGCTTTTGCTTCTCTAAAGGAGTCTACTGAATATTGTCTGGCTGCCCAAAGTCATAGAGATGGCATAGACATTTAATATGTTATCATTATTGTTATTGTTCTGAAAAAGAGCAGCACTGAAGCTCTTTTTTAAAAAATGTGACAGTCACTTGCACCCCTGTAAATTGCTCTTTTCTTTGCACATCAGACTGAAAAGCAACCGGCCCCTCAAAGCACACGACTTCTCTGTTATACCACCATTCTTAGGTTTATATTTACCTGCCATGATTTTGTATATGTCACCATCATCTATATGGAATTAATGTAAACTAACAATGCATACTAGTTATATTGTAGTAGATGGAATTATAGAGGAAGGGGCAACCTGCCACCTCTCTCTCACGTACTCCTCAGCCCCGGAGGTCTAGGATAGCAGAAGTATAGCTTAGGTCAATGCCGGCTTCTGCCCACAAAGTGGTCTTTGGTTTCAGAGCAAATCCTTGATGCCCCCCTAACTAGATACCAGGGCTGTGCTGATTTCACAAATGATTTTATCCTTCACATATCCCCTAAATGCAGCTGCATGTGCAAAGACACACTTCATTTTAGGCTCCCAGTTGAATCTGGAAGAAACAGTCACATTGGACTTTATAAATTGGCTCCTTAATGCCACTGCAACTTCTTTTCAAACTCACCAGAAATGTGAAAAATGTCAGGCTGCTTTAATGACCAGCAGGAAAATGCCGCGTCTATGCCCATCCGTGAACTCAAGCCCTTCCTCTGAGTTTTTTTCAAAGCATGCATGGATCTACTTTCTCTAATCCTGAGGTTGGATATCTTGCATTGACAGAGACGGCAAAGAGTCACAGCGTGGAAAGAAGCCATGGCCAAAATAGTTCTCTGGATACAACCCTGCACTTGCAAAACCCAAGCTGAAAACTTACCAACACGATGAATACATGATGCTTACATGTGTCTTTGTACTGTAATCTCAGAGGAAAAAAAAAAGATATTGCTATTTACAAAAGCCCTGAGTAAGTGAGCTAATTTAGAGGTAGAGTTCGCACAATTAGCCAATAAACAGGTCAGCCAACTACCACTAAATTGTGTATTTGATACCAGTTATGTCAGTGCAAATCAGGGGTGAAATGCTCCCAGTTTAGACCGGTTCGGCTGAATCGGTAGTGATGGCAGCTGGTGGTTCGGAGAACCGGTAGTGATGGCGGCACGAGGCTCCGCCCACTCACCTGGTCGTCGTTACTTCCTGGTTTTAACCAGTTTTTTACCCTCCGTGCATCCACAGAAGGGTTTGCGCATGTGTAGAGGGTCCACGCATGCATATGACATGCACATGCGCACAAGCGAAGTGTGCACTTCTGAACTGGTTGGGAAGGTATCTGAGCCTTGCTGTCCCTTTTTCAAATTACAAATAACTCAAAGAGAAACATATTCAGAAGAGATGGGTCATGATGGGTCTTTCTGGAGGATTCCAAGTATGAATTGGCAATTATTTGGGAGAGATATTCTGGCTCAGGAAGTCAGCATTAAGCAGGGGAGAAAACAGAAGCCAGGTAGAGCCACTTTCTGGCCATCCTTCCATTATGCAGTTTGTCCCTGGTACCAGAGCTCCTCGATCATAGTTTTGTCCTGGGTTCCTGGTTATGAAGGAATAGGGTTCTGTCTTGTCTTTGGGGAACAACCTTCTGCAGGAATCTGATCCCTCCATCTCAACTGAAATCTGCCCAAAAGTCATTACCAAACTGGAATTTTTAATGTGCTGTATGGGGAAGTTACTACCTGCATAGGTGAAAATGATATTTCATTTTAGTTAAAATTAATTTATCTTTAAATTAAATCACAGGTTTCATGCTGGCTTTATAACTTTTGGACTGTGGGCACCATCTAAGTCAAAATAAACCAGCAGGAAACACCACATTTACTGATGAGGTTCCCTAGTTGGGTCATGAAATGTTTGCAAGAAAACCACCAAGTTCAGAGAGCACCAAGGACCCCCCCCCAGTTCAGCCCTGAGCTCTTCCTTTCTACCAAAGCCAAGACAGACTTCCTTGCATGAAAGCATGGGAAACCCATTCTTTTCAAAAAGTAGCAGGGCAGCGGGTAGCAGAATAAGAAATATATTTTCTCCTTGTCTTCACCAACATATAAAAATTGGTTTTACATTATGTCATCTAATTTGTAAAGTGATACGGTAAATAAATACTGATTTACATAGGGCAGGCAAAATAACTCAGAAAATCAGCCTATCCCAATAATTAAACTTGTGCAGGGCCCAGAGACAAAACTCTGAAAGACAAGGGATGGAAGCCTCTCCACCATTTTTGTCAACCTCCATAAAGCGTTTCTACTCACGAGGACAAGCCTTTAAGGGCCGGTTGTGCAAAGTGTGCCAAACAGGACCTTCACAAAGGAGGTTAAGGGTCTCCCTTGGAAGTGCAAAAGCAGCTGCATCCTTAGCCAACTCATCCAGTGCTCCAAGGATAAGGATAAGGATAATTTTATTTCTATACCGCCCCTCTCCCGAAGGACTCGGGGCAGTATACAGCCAGGTAAAAACACAATACAAATATCACAATTTAAATTTAAAAATTATTAAAAGTATTACATTTAAGGCCAATTAGCTAAAAAACTCAAAAATTTAAGAATTCCGAATTTAAAACTCAATTATGAAGCTAGCCCTGCCTGTCGGAAGAGCAGGGTCTTAAGAGCACAGCAGAAAACTCAGAGGTCAGAGATCTTGCGTATGTCCGGGGGGCAGTTCATTCCAAAGGGCAGGGGCTCCCACCGAGAAGGCTCTCCCCCTGGGTGTCGCCAGCCAACATAATTTGGCCGACAGCACCCTGAGGAGTCCTTCTCTGTGGGAGCGAACTGGTCGGTGGGAGGCTATCAGTGGCAGAAGGCGGTCTCGTAGGTAGCCAGGTCCTGAGCCATGGAGTGCTTTAAAGGTGGTAACCAACACCTTGAATCGCACCCGGAAGACCATTGGGAGCCAGTGCAGCTCGCGCAGGAAAGTGTTACATGGGTGCAATGAGTTGCACCCATAATTGCCCACATGGCCGCATTCTGGACCAGTTGGAGCCTCCGAGTGCTCTTCAAGGGGAGCCCCATGTAGAGACATTACAGTAGTCCAGCCGGGAGGGCTCTTCCTCTGTTTTGTTCATGGTGCACGGTGCCTGCACCCCTCCCATTTCTGAACACACTTGGAGACCGCTGAGGATAGCCTTCCAAGCAGCCAAGCGAATCTCGCAAAGGATGTTGCTGTTCTAATGTTGTGTAGGGAGGTGCTTCATTCTCACAGACATGCTCTGAAAACATCTCTTTGTGCAGCCCAGCTAAACTCTACGCTGCACATTTGGGGACTGCAAACTGTAGAACCTGATGAAGCTAACACCGATCCCGTATTAACAATGTGATCTCTGCTAGAACTGAGCTCCACAACGAGCCATTCACTCTACAGCACCCATGAACACATCTGACACTGGAGCTTGTGAATCTCCTTCAGAGTAAGCAGTTTAGAGCTTAATGGCTTCAGCATATTACTCAAAAGCTCTAAAACCAAGGACTGACATTCTGATAATAAGCCAGAGCCATCTCGAGCTAGAAAACATCTCAGCATCTGTCCGCTGGTACACAATTGAAGAATAAAGGAGGTGCAGCAAACCCCAAAGAATAAGCAAACATGGAAGAATGAGGCCCAGCGCAGTTGTGCCTAAGAACCAAATACACCATGTTGCCTTCAAAGCTCTCTTCAACATCATCTCCATCCTCCAACAAACATGCTGCTTTTTTAAGAGCATTTTGGCGGTGAATGCAGATGCCTAACTATAAGGACTGTTAGTTCTGGGCACCTCCTTGGCTTCTCAGTAAAGTAAAATAATGCTTTTCACCAGCCATTGTGACTAAATCGCACTTCCAAAATGGGGAGCAATTGCAGAAAACCCTTTTAACCTGAGACAGAAGGAAAGGTGAAGAGACTTACCAAATTCATCACATACACTCTCATTTTCAATGAGTGTGGGATGCTCAAATGTGTCTCGACAGTAGAGGATTTGAGACCTTTGACTGATGGCTGCAACACCTCCCAGGGCTAAGACGAACTGGTCTGCTTGCACTGAAGATGGCTTGCCCTGGATCCGTTTCCGCATAGAGCGATAGCGGCAGTATTGAGGGTAGCTGAGGATCAGCACATTGACATCTTCCTCCTCACCTGAGAAAGAAAGAGGGAGCAGAGCGTTATTGAGTCCCTAGACAGAGAACCAACCAACCAACCAACCAATCAACCAACCAACCAACCAACCAACCAACCAACATTCAGCTTTTGTTGTTAGTTGCGAAGTTGTGTCCAACCCATCGCGACCCCATGGACAACATTCCTCCAGGCCTTCCTGTCCTCTACCATCCTCTGGAGTCCATTGAAGCTCACGCCGACTGCTCCTTTTTCTTTTGCCCTCAGTCTTCCCCAGCATTAGGCTCTTCTCCAGGGAGTCCTTCCTTCTCATTAGATGGCCAAAGTATTTGAGTTTCCTCTTCAGGATCTGGTCTTCTAAAGAGCAGTCAGGTTTGAACTCCTCTAGGACTGACCAGTTTGATCGCCTTGCAGTCCAAGGGACTCACAAGAGTCTTCTCCAGCACCAGAGTTCAAAAGCCTCCATTCTTTGGCGCTCAGCCTTTCTTATGGTCCACCTTTCACAGCCATCCATTGCAACTGGGAAAACCATAGCCTTGACTATACACACTTTTATTCTCAGGGTGATGTCTCTGCTTTTTAGTATGCTGTCTAGATTTGCCATAGCTTTCCTCCCCAGGAGCAAGTGTCTTTTAATTTCTTGGCTGCAGTCCCCATCTGCGGTGATCTTGGAGCCCAGGAAAATAAAATCTGTCACTACCTCCATTTCTTCCCCATCTATTTGCCAGGAAACCATCAGCTACTTTGGAATAAAAATTTCAGTACTTTAAGCATTTGGTGACTAATTAATTTTACCATTTTTGAAATTTTGATGGAATAGTTATATTCCACTGCTTATTAAGAGCATTTTAATTGTTTATTTTTCTTTTGAATTGCTGTAAGCCTCTCTCTTTAATGATAAATAGAATAGATAAATAATGCATAAGCAATCTCTTAATAATAGGGTCCTTGAATGTGGATATGAAATTATAATATTACACTTGAACAATAATGGTAATTTAATTATTAATCTGAACTCACCATACTGGCAAAACCCCAAAGAAAGCCAAGTCTGAATTTCTATAGAATTCTTCTACACAAATTAAATCTTTTAGATGTGGCTAAGCTCCAACCAATCTGAAAAAGACACCCAGCATTTTAAAAACAGAGATCACCAGAACTGTATGAAGATTTTCCCCATCCTGTGAACAGAAACTGCTTATATAGGGAAAGACGTTGCTGAATCCTGACCCTCATAATAAGCTGGTACATCACATCCTGAACAAGGCCATAATATGGCTTGTTTGGCTTGTGCCCGTGGCCCAGACTCCACCATCTCTTATTCTAGAAGATGCCAAGGGACAGCAAAGCCAGCCATGTGGGTATGGGTGTGCAATGCATCTATGGATGCAGCATGAAGCAAGCAGGGCAGCCAGCACCTCCTTCCTACCTGCAGAAGCTCTCAAGAGCCCATGGACCCTCTGCCTTTGCTGAACTCCCCGCTTTCAGGGCAATGAATCAGATATATTAGCTTGGGAAGAATTTCTGGTCTGCCCTATTTTCTCAGAGGCACTTTACTCAAAGGCTCCTCTTGAAACCTTTCCGGCTTCATTGTCTGTCCTGCCCATCAGCTGCAGGTTCCCAAAGGCCACATTTTCAGGGTGGGTTTATGGCACTTTTAATCATAATGTTGTAACCAAATCTTTGCACAAGACCTGCTGTCTTCAATCATAGATTTAAGGCCACATTTCCCCAATATACCAGGATGTACTCAAGCTGCATTTATGTGTGACAGTTTATTCATTTAGCATATGGCATATTGTACATGGACTAGTAATATATATTAACATTTCATCTAGATTAGTAAAGCGCAATAAAATATAAATGTTAAAGAGATCTGTGTTCAAATACCAATGTCTAGGCCATCTAACCATTGAAGCATAGCATCGTTAATATTTTTTAAAAAATCAGATACTGGTCTGGTATATGTCCTCAGTTTACAGCCAATCATGATGTGATCTAAAGTTTAATGTGGGACCCTGCAGTCACACCGAGAGGAGGATGCTATGCCCGATTTATATAGATAGTCCTGGCAGATGAGGTGTGAATCCTGTTCAGGATTGTGTATCAGTGTTTTGGTATTACTTGAGGATTGTTGGTTTGCTTTTGCCAAGGTCTCTCTCTCTCTCTTCCCTTCCCTCCCCTTCTCGCTCTCTCGTCTTTAACCATTTTACAAACAGTATATTCACAGTAAAGTGCATTACTAAAATGACTGTAATACTATTCAGGATTATTTTAAAGGGATATTTTAAAGCCAACTCATCACTAAGGTTATATTTTTTACCCTGATCTTCTACTCTCTTTACATTTACTAGATTTTAACTCAAAGCTGCAAAAGCAATAACGAAAAGAAAAATGAAAGAGCAATAGGAGCTCAACAAGAGTGCTGCATGGCATTAACTCCCCCCCCCCCGCACACCTTTTGCAAAAAGTCCAACCAAAAGATAAAGAGGAAAAAAAGCATTTCCATTTGTTTAAGCAAAGACAAACAAACGATTCCTGGAACAAATATATTATTTCCACCACACCAATGCAAGAAAAAACAACAACCAAAGGTCTCTCTATCTCTCCCGACTGAAACGGGGAGGAGAAAAACCTTTGATTACTTTCAATAGAACTTAGTAAATGTTACTATGGTTATATGTTAAAATTATAGCACTGTGTCAGAATGAAACATCTGAAGATAATCTGCTTTGAGCATGAGCACAATCCTCATTTTCTCTGTGGAAAGAGAGATGCCCAGTCAGTTGTCAGCTCCTTCTCCCTGGGCTGCATTTATTCGATTAACCCCCCCCCTCATTTGGCTGGGCAGCTGGGCTTAGGAAGGAGCCCTGCCATTCTGCGGGGTCTTCTCAGGCGTGATCATTTCACAATGGACTATCAGCTGTAGATGAGCCTGGAATCACGAAGGACATCGGGACAGAGCCCAAACCTCTCCATGCTGGACAAGCCCTGGAACTGGAGCTGGCGCGTAACCAAGGTGGGCCTTTTGATGGGACCATTTTAAAGAGCAGACACATTGAGCTCTTTGTATTTTCTTTCTAGTCCAAATAACTTCTGAAGGAAAACATTTTGTGGTTCCATCTCGGATGCTTGGCACCCTGGCTATGTGGACAACTACCTTTTCTCGATTTTGATCACCATGAGAGAACAATGGTTTATACTAGTCGCCCCTAGAAGCAGAAAGTGAATTTTCAGGTCAAAGTCCAACCCTCACCATTAAGGCTCAAACTGACTTTCAAGATCAAAAAGTCTTTCAGCTAAACAGAGAAACACATAAAGGGAGCTTCTCCTGCTGGGTTTCAGAAACACCACACTCCAATGATTATTGCTAACCACCAAATCCAGTTTTAACATCACTGAGCTTTTCCCCTTTTCAAAAACACACATAAAAAATAATATTCGCACCGGGATTTTGTAGAGTTGGATGGAAAACTATGCATGTCCCTTCCTGTACCTAATTACCCAGCTGCAGAAATCTGCCAAGAATTTTGCCCTTTAGTTCTCTTAATCGCATTAGTCCACACGCATTCCAATGCCAGGAGAAACACTTTTTTGTTTAACTGATTCCAATTCTGTATTAGAAGAGCTATTTTTGAAACATCATCTCCCCTTTTCTGAGAAGAAAAGACAGAGGTGTGTTCTTGCTTTCTTATCATGCTTGTGGGGCTCTGGGTGTGTGTTTATTGTTTTCATTTATGGTATTTCCTTCACCGCAGATATGACCGAACGGAAGGGCTGAGGAGGGCTGGTGGCAGTTGCCCACCGAGGTCGTATATAGAAGTTCTCAAACATTTCCAGGTGGGCCTGCAAGAAACTCTGGTGTGACAACTGGGAAAGAAGTTGGTGGAAGGGGAGAGTTCACGAGGGCATCTTCCTCTGCTTTTGTGCTTCTGTGAATCTCTTCTGTCTGCTGGTGGGGCATCACCTGTCAACTCCACCACTTTAGAGAGAGAGACACTGTTTACTTAGTCACTTCACTGGAGGCTTAATATTAATTAGTTCTGCGCAGTGTAGATCTGAAGAGCATCCAATCTAAGATTGATCTAAGGCAGCTCAGTTCTAGAGGAGGTTTGTATAATCTTTTGATGTTTTACTGTGTATTTTTCCAAACTTTGCTCTGGCCTGATCACATGCTAGCAACCAAACTGGAACAGCTTCCAATATTTGGCACAGCTCCAGCTTTCAGAGATACCAATAATTAAGTTGATGTCTCCATGTCGTTGTTATTCTGCTGCAAGACACAATTCCAGCTTCTAATTAGGCACTTTGTAAATTCTGTGCATTCATTTTTTGAAAAATGATTTTAAAAAGTGGGGGAGCAGGCGGCGATGTGAAGAACCCAGCAGAACAATGTTCTACAGATAAGAAAATTTACATCAGTTTCTATCACCACCAACGTTATCATGTGAAGCAAGAACAGGGGTGGGGGTGGGGTGGGGGGTTGGAGTGTGAATATAATTTCTCAGAAGGTAATTTTCCTTTCAGCCTAAGTACTCTTATTCATTCCTCACTTACTCAATGATTTCCTGTTCTAATTACACGACATTATACAGTACGACATTTGTAGAAATAAAATGTGTCTAAATCTAAGTGAATTGGTTACCAATGCTTAACGTTCTAAAACTGTGCGTCAACTTTATCAGTCCTCTGGTTTTAGCATATTTATTCTACCTGAACTCTCTCCCAAGGCAGTTAAATTAGCACAAATGTATGCATTCAGGAAAGAAATAAACACTTGTAGGTAAACATGCAACTAAACACCTGGACAAGAGGATAGCTGTATCCTCCCCCCTTCTGCTCCAACTATTGTTGGTGGTTAAACAAATCAAGACAAATGGAAAATATTCAAAAGAAAAACACCTGTTTCATTTTTTAGGAAAGGGGCAAGGAAAATATGAAGGGAGGGGAGAAAAGAAAGACAGGCTAAAACAGAAGGGAAATAGAAAGAGACTTCGTAAAATGCAAACGAATATCTGTTT